ATATCTCTGAGTTTTGAGTGGGCGCATGTCGCCAGTGTGCTGCGTTACTGTTTACATGTGTGAAAAGTGTGTTTGAAAACGAATCTGATTGCACTTAGACTAATTGCTATGCCAGAAACAGCAAAAACTGACTATGTTATCAACCTGTTTATGGATAACTGGGTACAGGACTTCTTAGACTAATCGCTATGCCAGAAACAGCAAAAACTGACTATGTTATCAACCTGTTTATGGATAACTGGGTACAGGACTTTGGTTTGCCCAAGTCCATTGTTAGTGATAGCGACGTTCTCTTCACTAGCAAACTGTGGCAAAATACTTCCCAACAGGTGGGCACCCGACTACAGATGACATCAGGAAATCACCCTGAGTCAAATGGCCAGGAGGAACAGATGAACCGAGTAGTGCAGCACCTGCTACGGCATTACATCAAGCCAAGTCAGGATGACTGGGACGAGAAATTGGCTCTCGGCGCCAGCCTGTACAGCAGTGTTGTGCATAGCACTACTTGCATGACTCCCAACCAACTGCATCGTGGTTGGAAGCCAAGGTCCGCCTTAAATGTTCTACTACCCGAGACTCAGCCATCTGCAGCACCTGGCAGCATAGAGTTTGCTGTCAAGTATGAACAGATGCTGCAACATGTAGGACACATTAAGAAAGCGCAAGATGCTATGGTGGCTTCTGAGAACAAGCACAGACGGGCATCTGAACTGGGCCAAGAATTCGGAATCTCCCGAAAACTAATGCCGCAGTATTTCGGTCCATGGGAGGTCCTAGATATAGTCGGGGATCAGATAGATGGACCCTCCTATGGAATTCACATCCCTGCTCACGCACACACCCAGTCTTTCACGCCTCCAAGCTGGCACCTGTTGCAGAGACAGCCCAGTTCCCTTCCAGACGATCAATGCTGCCCCCAAACATGGATGGCGAATTCGACATCGATGAAATTGTGGAGCACCGGGTGATGCCAGTGCCTAAGGCCCTAAACCTCCCGGTAGAACTTAACCTCCAAAGCCAAGGATGCAGTACCGTGTCATATTTTGACACCATACTGATGTCAGTGAAGATCGGTGGTTTACCAGAGAAGAACTCCAACAAACAGCTCCCCAAGTGATTGCAGGCTATGAAAGAGGACTCAAGGGAAATATGCCTGCAGATTGAAGGACTTCTCAGAGGACTATCGAAGTACAGGAGGAGGGAATGCGAGGATTTGGCTCCTCGGCAGGCCTACGGGCCCTTTATACAAGTGTGCCTGCCCTAAGTGAAGACAGGCCTAACAAATCATGAGAGGCCCAATGCTGTCAATTTCGTATTTGAGGTTCAGGCAGTTGTGTCGTGTCATTGGTTGAGGGAACCGGGGTCCCGAGCAGCAAATACTTTCCACGTCCTTCTAGGCCTTTTCTGAAATGCAAACCCTGGGCCACATTTGCAGCGGTATACACAGATAGTTGAGAGGCGTGACTGAGCGATGCCCAGGAGCAGCAGCAGAGGCCCAGCCACCTGGGGCCTACCGGAAGCTTCTGGGCGCAGGCCCAGCCCAGCCAGGCCGAAGGCCAGGCAGACCCTTTATACAAGTGTGCCCGCCCTAAGTGAAGGCAGGCCTAACAAATCATGAGAGGCCCAATGCTGTCAATTTCGTATTTGAGGTTCAGGCAATTGTGTCGTGTCATTGGTTGAGGGAACCCAGGTCCCGAGCAGCAAATACTTTCCACCTCCTTCTAGGCCTTTTTCTGAAATGCAAACCCTGGGCCACATTTGCGACGGTATACACAGATAGTTGAGAGGCGTGACTGACCGAGGCCCAGCAGCAGCAGCAGAGGCCCAGCCACCTGGGGCCTACCGGAAGCTTCTGGGTGCAGGCCTAGCCCAGCCAGGCCGAAGGCCAGGCAGACTCTTTCCATATAGGAAAGAGCTCACTGCCTGGAGACTCATTCGGGCACTTGCCAGTTTGCGGCCGCGCTGATGGAGCGGACACTCGCGGGCTGCTGCTAGCGCTGGGGCAAGGTGCTGCGCATGTGCGGTCATGTAGGAAGAAGGGCACTGCTGTGGGCGGCGTCATAGCCCAGCTTCCATTGCTGGCTGGGCTTGGACGAACAGCAAGGTGCAGTGGTGGTCTTCGGGTGCAAAGAGGGAAGACATGGGAAAAGACAAGGGAGAGAGAGATAGAGATGAGGATGAGGATGTGAGGGCTCCGACTTGGTACTGACGATGGTCTGCAATGGGGGACATCATCATGTACTTCAGGGGCTGCTGACGTCAACAGTTGCATTGTCAATTCGTAGGCAGATAGTAGCTGTGTGAGGAGTAGTCTGGGCGCCGAGCGCCAAGTATGGGGAAGGGCCTGGACACTTATGTTGGTGATGATGAGAGTAAGCTCTCATTGACATTCGGTTTCAGTGTTTCGATTCTCCATTGCTGTAATATTGGTGCAATGCTGCCTTCTGGACACTGTGGGACTTTCTGGCTTTCAATGTGATTTTGCAATCTGGATTTTGTCATCTCGCTATTGCTCATTTTCCTTGCAGAGGGGTCCTCCTCCCCCCCTCCCGCATGCACACACCCACCCACACCCACACACACACACAGACTCACACACTTTGTTTTTGCAAATTGATTGATTGATTGGTGGGGGAGGGCCCCCCCCCGGCCCCGGCACACACACCCACCCACCCACGCTTGCAACGAAAAATAAAAAAAAAAACTTTTTTTTTCTTTTCTCTTTTCTTTTTCGTAGTGTTCGTTTTTAGTTTTATTTTTACGGAAAAATAAGTGGTTTGCAAGGAAGATGAGCAGTAGCGAACTTCAGCAATCAAACAGCATCATACAAATGAGACCAGATAGTCGTGACCTCGAACCAAAAGCAGAATTGCATCACGAGTTTCACCAAATGAGAGCACACCAAAAGCTCATAATTGACAATGCCGGAATAGTCTCATCATCATCAACGAAGAACCAATGTTGATATCAATGGCAGATCCTATCTAGCCTAGACTAGAATGCCGCTGATGACGTCAACAACTTCCCAAGTACGAGCAGACCTCGGCCAATGCCGCACGCGTCAAGCACCAGGTATGTCTCTCGTATCACTCACAACCTTGTTCCCCAACTCACAGATGCCACTTGCACCCAAGGACCACCATGCGCCCCATCCAGCATACAGCAGCGCAGCTCGGCAATGGCTGCCTGCTCCTTCCAGCTCGCCGGTGAGCGCGTGAGCCTGGCAGGCGATAACGCAGCAGCGCGTGCACACAAAGCAGCCAGTGCCCGAATGTCCAATGCGTAGGCTGGCCCTTTCCTAAATGGAAGTGGCCAGCCTGCTTGCGTGTAGCCTGGCTGCGCTGGGTCCATGCCCAAAAGCTTTCGGTAGGCCCAGGGAGGCTGAGCCTCAGACCAAACGAATCAGACCCAGGGCCACTGACAGTTACCCGTGCCGAACTGGCCGCTGTTTGAGTTGGGCGTATGCTGCGTATCTCGCCCAGGGCCTGTTTTAGATACAGTTGGTAAAGGAGGCCAGGGCCTGAGCGCCTTCAACCAGCGGGCGCCGCAACTGCCTGAATTTTCCCCAGTTGCGAAGTAGTCAAAACTAGGCCTGTTGTCGTGTGTCAGACCTGCCTTCACTTAGGGTGGCGGACCTCTTGCAAATAGGGGCCCAGTAGGGCTTACCGAGGCCTATGCCTCGCATTCCCTCCTCCATACTTCGCTAGTCCTCTGAGAAGGTCAATCTTCAATAATCTGGTCCTTTCCTTTTTGCAGAGACTTCGCATAGTGAGCGACAACCTGTGGAGCAGTTTGCATCAGTTCCTCCCTTGTGAACCACCTATCCTCCTTTGGATCAGTGTGATGTCTGAACCGAACTCGGTACTGCAGCTTCAGTTTTGGAGGACGTCCCCAACCTGTCGGTCTTGGAACTGGCATCTCATTGTGATCAACGATGTCGTCGATGTCGACCTCTCCATCCATGGTTGGGGGCAGCATAGAGCGACGAGAGGGAAACTGATCCATTTCTCCGAACGGTGCAAGCTTTGAGGCGTGAAATACCGGATATGTACGTAGGTGACCAGGGATGCAAACAACATAAGAAGGGCCACCAGGTTCATTCCCAACGGCATCTAGAACCTCCCATGGTCCAAAGTACTGTGGCATGAGCTTACAGGATATCCCATGCTCCTGTCTTAGTTTTGAGGATGGTCCCCTACTTGAAATGTGGACGGGCAGCGGTGTTTGTTCTCAGACTCTATTATTGTCGCCTGTGCTTTTTGCATTTGTTCCACTGCCTGCTGCATCGCTTGTTCATATTGATAAGCAAATTCTAGTGTACCCGGTGCAGCAATTTGCTGGTTCTCAGGTAATAGAAAGTCTAGGGGCAGTCTAGGCTTGAAAGTTAGTAGCAGGCTGTTAGGGTTCACCCCTGTGGCGATGTGCACAGCGTTGTTGTACAAGCTGGCGATGAGAGCAAGCTTCTCATCCCAGTCCACCTGGTTGGGTTTGACGTAATGCCGCAGCAGGTGTTGTACAGCACGATTCAGCTGCTCTGCTTGGCCGTTGCCCTCTGGTTGGGTTACCAGAGGTCATCTGCAGCTGTGTCCCTTGTTCTGCAGCTGCAGCCTTCCACAACTCGCTAGTGAATCTGACATCTCGATCACTTACGATAGACTTTGGTAATCCAATATCTCTGACCTTGTTTTCCTTGAATAGTCTAATGACGTACTCAGTCTTTGCTGTTTCCGACATTGCAACTAACCTAGCATGCTTACTAAACCTATCCACAATGACAAAGATGTGTCTCATTCCACTCTTGCTAGTGATAAGTGTGTCTGTGAAGTCCATGGACAGGCCCGGTATCGGAAGGGGCTTGAGGAGCCCAAGAGGGGCTTGTGTACGGGGCTTGTCTCTTTGACAGACCTGACAAGTCTCCACGTACAGCTTGGCATCTCTCATCATCGTGGGCCACCAGAACCACTGCAGCAGATTGGCTGCAGTCTTCTTGAAGCCAAAATGTTCGGTGGCATCATGACACTCACCTAAAAATAAACTACGCAAAGATTCCCTATTGGGACCACACAAACATTTATTTTAGGCCTTCTCAAGGAACATCAGACCGCTGACCAACTCAAACTCGGCAGAAAAGATTTTGTCCTTCGCCTCGAGTCTGCGAATGATCTCGGACATAAACTGATCCTCACGGTAGGCTTCCACCATAGTATGAGTAACATTGTTCGCAAGCCCAAACTCAATGATCAACGTACCGGAGAAATCTGATTTACGCGACAACCCGTAAGCAACCTTGTTGTACTTGCCCTTGATGTACTGGGGCTCAAAGTCATACTGTTGACTTCAATCCAACGCTTCAGACCATCGGAGAGGACAGACTGGGTTCTCATCCACTTCAGGGTCTGGTGATCAATCCCGACGTAGAAGAACCTCCCAAGGAGATAATGCCTCCAATGGGTGAGGGCCTTGTGGATCGCATAGAGCTCCTTCTCATAGGTGGACTTAGCCAACTTCTGAGAGGGCATCTTTTTGGACATGTACTCTATTGGCCTCAACTTTTGTCCCTCCTGCTGCGCAAGTACGGCGCCTATACCATATTGGCTAGCATCCGTAGGCACTTCGAAAGGTTTGTCAGGATCAGGTAGTTTTAAGACCTCATGGTGTGTCAACGCATGCTTCAGATGTTTGAAGGCAGCCTCACACCTGTCTGTCCACTCCCATGGGGTGCCAAGGCGAGTCAGGTCCGTCGAAGGGGTGGCCACTAT